GTTATGATTGCCCTCTTCAGTGTCTTTCAAAAGTCAAAATCGCTGTCGTCATCTGCTGGGTAAACTTCATTTGATGCACAAGTGAACAAAAGATAACAGATGTTTAATAGTATGATGACAATATTGAAGGTAAGTGAGCACATCTGTAACAGCAACAAGCTTTGCTCAGAAAACATCTTAATGTTCAGCACAGGATGGCATCGCTACTTCTAAAGGACAAAAAAATAAAAACAAGCAATCATAAAATTTTTATGTTTTTTTTTTTACAAAGTTTTGCTTTTGATCTTCATTCGCCACCCTGCGGAAATCTTATTTTGTTTTTTTCTAAAGATCGAAGAAAAAAGTAATGCAAAATTTTCATCTAATTCATTATTCGTTCAAAATATTTATTCGATTCTGATTGGCTCAATTCCTCCGCCCATTTCTTCACAACCAGCCACCGCTTACCATATTTGAAAGAAGTAAGTATAATATGATTCATTCAAAATATTTCTTCATTTCTGATTGGCTCAAATTCTGTTGGGCTTCACGTACACTATCGATAAACCTGATTTCCAGGCGCGGCTAGTTAGCATGAGAAAACAGCGGCACCATCACTGGTTCCCCGCGAAATGACGTCTGAGAAAACAGCGCAGAAATTTTTATACTGATGACGTGTTACTACCCAGATCTGGGTAGTGTTTCTGATTGGTCGTACCGCGTGGGAAATTTTCTTCAACCAACTTGAAGCACTACCGAGATCTGGGTAGTGACACGGCATCAGTATGAAATTTCTGCGGTCGTTTCCCAAACGTCATTTCGCCGAGGGGAAATTAGTGCAGGGCGTCGCGAAATGTCTGCTAGTTTCTCTAGCCTGCTAGCAAGCTCTCTAGGGCACTCTGGCGGCGGGGCGATGGATGGATATCTACTTTTTGTGAAGAATCTGCATGAAAAAAAAAATGCTTATATCAAAAAACGTGCCGAAAAATAGGAAAAAGTTTTGAGGAAAGTCTGCGAGGAGCTAGCTTGTTAATAACTTAGACTGAATATTTTTTTATGAATAATAAAACAGTTATAGAATTCGGCTTTCATATGATGGGAAGATTATACAGATCTCAGAAGCTGCTTCGCTGGATATAAAACTTGATCTGCAAACATTTTTCATACTAGGCAGGTAGCGGCGTGACAGCCAAGCTGATTCGGCTTGAGTAAACTCAATAACATGGTGGAAAGGTTGACGGCTGTCCCAAGAAGAAATGGCCTAATTACTGACTATTACAAAAGCTGAACAAAACAAAACCACCAAAACCCCAATATAATTACTGGAAAAAAGGATATCTACTTTTTGAGGAGTATCTGCAAGGAAAAAAACAACTGTTTACATATGAAACTGGCCAATGTTTGAAATAAGTTTACGCCGAAAAAAGGGTGCTAAGAACTTTAAAATATTTGGAATGAATAATATAACAATAATACGTTGTAAATTCGGCTTTTGTATGATATGATGAATTATGCAGATCTCGGAGGCTGTTGGGATAATACTCTCCTCTATCTTCCATTTTTGCTTATATCATGCTCAGCCTCATTCAATAACTTTTAAATATAACATACTTGAAGTGATTAAATAAGCGAATTATATAATAATTATTACCTCGATACCTTGGGCCGGGCACCGACAAATGACCAGTCTGTTAGCGGAATAACAAACTTTTAGCTTTTCTAAATTTTCACTTGTGTCGGCAAAATAAACTAAGAGTATTTACCGCAAAAGCCTGTTAATGTAAGTCTTTTGACATCACCATGACTAAAATGAAATTAAATGCATTGCACTTTGCTATAACCTAAACATAATGAACCGTTGAAAATACTTGCCTTGGCATTCTGTCTCCCTCGATACTTGTTTGTCCTATTAACTTAGTAAATCGTTTTCAGTGTAACTCCTATGGTTTATACGATACTACTGGCAGACAATTGCCATCAGTAAAAATCGTGGTCATGTGTAAGGACCAGAACAGTCTTGCGGGTTGTTTCGTTAAAAAGAGCTTTGAGGTGGAGGCAAAAAATCAAGGCACACTGAGGTCATGAAAAATACATTTGCCGAAAAATGCAACAGATGTGATAATAAATTTATGCAAACTGTTTTTGCTTCTCTGCGTCATAAGGCGGAAGGAAGGAATGACGAAGTCATCTTTTGTTTAGATGGCAAAAGATTCTGTAGCAGAGGATTCAATTCCTTTCTTTTTTTCACCTTTTAATTCCATTCCAAAAAGGAATAGATTATTCATTCAAGATTCAAGCATTGAAGAAAGCCTTTGCTCATTTTTTTGTCTCAAGTTGTAAGTGATGACATACAAATTTTAGAAAACTACAAATATTTTTATTTGTTTTAGCAGGAAAGAAAATACTCTGATGAAAAAAATATTTTATCGCCCAGTTTTCTCCTTTTATTTCAAACAAAATATTCTACACTAAAGTTCTAGCTTTCAGGCCAACAGGGGAGCTTTCCTTATTTTTTTTGTCTTTAACACCATGAACAGAGAATTTGACTAAAGGTTGCGGGTCGCAGGTCCAATGTCGTGGTCACGGGTCCAAAGTCGCGGGCAGAGAAAGTGATTTGCGTGAAATTTAAGTTTGAGTTCGAGGTAACTGAGCGAAAATGACTGATAATATAAGGGAAAAAAATCGTTTTTATGCACGATATTCTTCGGTAGCTAATTTACAGGTTACGAATGTTAGAGTCAATATAGTACTGGGTAAAGAAAAGAATATAAATGAAAAAGCTGGCCTACTTTTGTGTTCGTGGTAAGTTTACTATTTTGTTTTTCTAACAGGCCCAGTTATGTGTAAATTCAACGTTGGATATACTTATGCATAACAGTATCTGATAAAAAAATACCGTAAGGTGCCGTTGTTTACTTTGGGGACTGACCTAGGACAACACTTTTTCCGCCGTACTGTTTGAGTCTTACAGTTTAAATTGCTTAAACCTACACAAATGCTCAGGAGTGCATTCACTGACAAGTGTGCGATAGACTTGATAGACTACAAATTTTATACGTTATAACAACTTAAGACCTTAGTAGAAGATACGAGAACTCTTTCACAAGTTATAAGAAATTATTTTCGGGGAAAATAAAGAAAATGTAAACAGGTGCATCAAACTTCATTCTAGTGGCATTCAAGGCATGGATTATGGAAACAAAGTCGGAATAATCAAACGAAAGGCGACAAGTGTCTGAAGGCTGTAATAGATGAACTTTCCTCGATGGAAGGCTTTCGCTTAATGCTTTCTTTTGCAACTCAGGCGGAAAGTAAGTATTCATTTAAACTTGTTCGTTTCACTTAAATGCAACCAAAATAACTGTTTACAACCTAGTGTGACAGCAACCCATTTATTGTGCGTCTCAGTCAACTCTTGAAAATATGCATCGTAACTAAGGAGTTTGACTAATAGTCGCGGGTCGCGGGTCGAGGGTCCACAGTCGCGGTCGCGGGTCCAAAGTCGCGGTCGCAGGTCCAAAGTCGCGGTTGCGGGTCCAATGTCGCGGTCGCGGGTCCAATGTCGCGGCAGGGGAAAATGATTTGGGGTTCGAGGTAACTGAGTGAAAACGAGTGATATGAAAAAAAATATAAAGGGAAAAAAATCGTTTTTATGCATGATACTCTACGGTAGCCAATTTACAGGTTACGGATGTTAGAGTCAACAAAATAATGTCTCAAGAAAAGACGTAAAAGAAAAAGCTGGCCGACTTTTGTGTTCATTGCAAGTTCATTTTGTTTTCTTTCTATCGGGCCCAGTTATAAATTGTAAATTGTAAATTGTAAATATCTTATTATCCACTCCCCTCAGGGCTTTTCAGGGATAATTTACAACACTGTTTGGGGGACTTTGCCAGACTGCTTAAGGTGCAGTTTACAAGTAGTGAAGGAATGAGTAATGATGCCCCCATACATGAGTGTGAAAGTGAGATAGGCCACTACACCGGGCACTACGTGCCCTACTCTTTACGAAGAGTGTGTGGGTTCTTTAACGTCCCACAGATTTAATACATGTGCAAGGGCTTGTGAGACGGGGCCTACGGTTTATCGTCCTTATCCGAGAAGACTAGAGAGTCTAGCCGTTTGCAGATATTATTACAAAGGCAGCACTTTCTCCTCAGTTATTTAAAGATCCTGAGTGTTGGTCCTGCCGGGGTTGGAACCCGCGACCTCCCGCTCTGCACTCATGCGCACAACAGACTGAGCTAATCCTTCCGCGGTTAAGCCGACACGAACTCCCCAAGGAAACTTTTCTTTTCATATTTTCAGTGAAAAAAAACTGTCACATAAAAGGATTTTGACCCAAACTCAAGCGTATGAACTACACATGCAAAAAATGTCTAGAGTTGCTAACTTTGTGAACAAGCCCTCTGGAACGAGTAGGTATATGAAGAAAACGAGTGCTCGTGTTCTTTTCCCTCCCCACCCCTGTCCCGAGAGTATGCTACAAGCTATGGAGTTGTGAAAACGGAAGTGCTGCTGCAGTAAAAGCAGTGCAGTAAATTATTGCGATATTTATTTAACTGTATGAACCACACTAGCCTGTTCCAGGCCCCGAGATAGTGGTGAAAAGTCGTTCAGTAAAAAGAACTGCGAAAAACGCGCCCCGTTCCCAAGTCGCGTGCGTCTTATTTTCGTTTTGCTCGTTTTAATACTTCCCCACTATACTATCTGAGAGCCTGGCACAGGCTAGAACCACAACGCAGCAACAGTTTTCCTTTGCTTTATTAAGAAACGTTATCACATCTTTCCATACTTTTCCACTACACAAAGCAACAAATCATGTGATATTACACTAGCAAAGCAAGCCTATATGATACATCTATACTTTGAAATTTCAAACCAGTACATAACACTATATCGCCAAAGGGAACTCTAATGTACTCCCCATGATAGCCATAGGATGCTGTTTCCTGGACAAAGAAAATAGCGCATAAAACAACAATAACAATAACAACGGAAAAAGCACGTGTTTTGTGGCTCTAAACAAGAACACCACTCTTTGGAACTGTAAAGGGCCAGTTGAAGCCCTCTACCACTCCTGAATCTGTGATCTTCACTTGATTTTTAGGTCGGTCAGATTGATCCGTCTCCAACTCACTGATTTCTTTTACGATTTTCTGTCAAGAGAATCATATATATTAAATAATTTTCATTAATTTCCCTTTCATGTGATTGTATCAGTTAAACGTCGATGATGATTATTACATATATTTCTTGTTCTGTCCCATGGGTATTTAAAGTTATACGAAATAATTGAGATTTTTTTTTGTTGGCCACTAAGAACCTGTGAACCTGGCTAAAAGAAGTTTTCGTGCGCTGTTTAACGCGAAGAAGGTTGCGTCGAACTCTGGCCAATTGCTGAGCAATGAGCAAGTGCAAAAATGTGGGATTTCAAAAAGAGAGTACTCAGGGTACGAAATAAATGCATAATTCGATGACCATTGTTAAGACTGAAAACGAAAACCTAACAGTGAACTGGCTCTCTGTTTAGGTGGGAGAAGACTTAAAATCGCGAGTAGACGGCGTGGGCGGAACTGGGAGAATGGGGTAGAGGATCTGGGTCCCTTTTCCCCTCCTTATATCTCCGCAAATTTTTCCTATTAAGAAGCCTGTTCACAGGCTACTGAGGACTCTTCTAAAACGCTTTTATTTTCCAAGCAATTCTAACGGTGCCTTTAAATGAAGGAATTCTAAATGACACAAAAACAATTGTTTTATCATCTAAAACACAAAACCCTATTTGACTAACCATTCCTTCAAGAACTTTGCCAAAACAAGTGTGCTTTCCATCCAACCATTTTGTCCTGACTAAAGTGATGTAAAACTGCGAACCGTTAGTGTCCTTTCCAGCATTAGCCATACACACCCAACCTGGCCCATAATGCTTCAGGATGAAATTTTCGTCATCAAAGTACTTTCCATAAATACTTTTAGCTGAAAATGTAACACAGGAGTGAGATAATTATAGTATTAGAACGTACCTGAACAGTCGTTGCTTATAATGATGACAATGACAACACCCAGAAGAAGAAATGTAAGATGGTAGCTGACTATTTACTTGCCAAATGGCGTCGTTTTAGATCGTCTCGACTACAAACTGATGAAGGACCAAGAATAGATCTTGACAAATTTCCAACCCGGTTGTAACCCAATTCTGCTACACTTACGAACAAAAAAAACTTAGACGTCTTCGTCTAGCTCTGGTTCATTTCCCTTAAAACATAGCTAGAAACACCATGGATAATAGAAACACTGGGTAGGCGAAAACGAAGAAACAAACAGGCAAAAGAAAGTGAAAGAAAAGGATCGGTTATTGTTTCCAAAAAGGTCCAAATTTTGAATTAGACGCAAGTAAAAAAATAAAGACACTTAAAATGAAGTCAAGTTGAGTGGAAAAAATTTACTTTTTGTCAAATAGCAGAGGCGTAGCTACATGTACGCCATAACACAAGGAAAAATGTCAAAAAAAAAGGAATGAAAAACTGTATTAAAGAAGAGACGGTAAGTAAGGGATAGCTAAAAAAAAAAGGTGCGTTTTCCCGCGAAATTCCACTTTCAAAGACTCAAAAGGAAATGTTTTCTCTTGGTTTTACAACTGCTACTTGACGAACGGGCTCCCAAGACTGAGAGATTTGATTATTAATTCACCATATTGATAAAGATTGGAAATTTAATCAAGTCACCCGTGTAAAAACGATTTGAGAGACGGGATAGTTGATTTGGGAGACTGAACTCACCTTTGGCAAATTCTAGCTACGTCCCTGATTAGATGCAGTTCTGAAATGCTTACCAGTCCGAACTGAATAGTGCACGTGGTTAAATAGAGCATTTTCCGACAATATCGAACAAAAGAGGCGAAGGTGATTTTACAGTTAGGAATATACATTTTTTGTTACCAATATTTCGGAAGACACGGCCTTCCTTCTTCAGGGTCTTACATACAACGATAAAGTTAACCTAAGACGTTACAATTTGACGTCTCAAGCCCCCCCTCCCCTCCCCTCCACCTTCCCCACCCCAATTCATCGTGAAAGTTTTGTTGTCCTCCCCACAACAGATACAGCCGGTTGAAGAAACAAAATTAGCAGGTTAAACAGCCCAGTAAGTGATGAAACAAGATAATATTAGGTAGATAAGTAGGAGAGAAAAATTCATCTTACATCGAGATCCTTCACCGTTGTCACTGAAATCTCCACCTGCAATGGCAAAAAGCAAACGAAACGAGAAGAGATTAACTCCTCAATCGACCTAAAAGCGATATTATCACCAAATCCTGCAGCAAATCCCTAGGAATTCGTTGCAAGTTAAAGCAAAGTCAAGCCGAGAAACAAGAAAGATTTTTAAAACTTTTTAAAAGGTTATCCCAGAAGGCTTACCTGGGTTACCGTGGCAACCGCGATATTTCAAAACACAACAGGGTCGCAAAAAATTAATCTGGAAAAGATTTTTTGGGGTTAGTCACGTGATTCGTTCATATTTGTTGTTACACATGGTTTCTGAGTAGACATTTCTTGGTTTTTGATCAATTTTGTGAGGTTATCCAAGTAAACCAGGAGAGCTATGTAGCTTGTAAGAAAAGTGCAATTTTACATGGTGAACGTGATATCACGACATGAGTAAATCAAGTGTAACAACCGAAGCAAATAGTCTCAATTTATATCAGCAGTATATGTGTGCAAGGGTGTAGGTATCAGAGGATTTTTCACCATGAGCTTCTACATTACCGTCTTCCTGGGATACTAGAGCAGGCGGCTGGAACCCCTGTTCCCAAGGAGTCCTTAGCTCTTGAAACCATGGGAATAGAATGCCGCATTCTTTGGATAATTATTATCATAAGGCCAAAGACTGTATGGAAATAAATGTATTGCGCGATAAGCATTTTTTTTTTGGCTACGGGGCTGTCTGCATTATCGCGTATTATCAGGGCCTTTTCTTAGAGGTTTTGTAGACGTAGTGCTTTTCACGTTAAGCATAAAAGAGCGTGTTTGATATATTTTTATATAAGGTTTTTTGCTATTTCAAAAACGCAAAGCTTAGAGAGGATGGAGAGACAAATTCTGAGACTGTTTCACTGCCCAAACTTCTGTCTCTAAACAAGAATATCCCCATAATAAGCTAAGCGTTAACTTGTAAAATCACACTTTCCTTTCTTCTGGACGATACATCAACTGCTCACAAATTATAAAACAAACCTTGTATCATGAAGTCCTTGATCACTCGGTGAAAAATTGCGCCCCTATATCCAAAGCCGTACTACAAAGTAAAACCAAAACAACAGATTTGACATGAATCTTTTTTGCTAGCGTAGGGAGAACTCAGGTAGGTTTTTTGGTGTATGTGGCGAGCAGTCACGTTAAGAATAGGAATATACAGTCAAGTCCCGAGAACTCGAACTCTCGCTAACTCAAACCTCGCGCTAACTCGAGCCAAAATCAATTTTCCCTGGATTTCCTTCATACAATACTCGGTTACTCGAACTCTCGAAAACTCGAACATCCCGGTAACCCACGGCCAAAGTAATTTTTGTTTCCCTACAAATGATTTTTATTTAATTTTACCCTCGATAACTCGAACTATGTTTTAAAGCGTGACAAGTCGAAAAAAAAGTCGACAATGAGACACTGAATTTATTGCAAAACTGCCGCGTTTTCTTTGTCTGTACTTCTTTGTCAATCTTGTTCAAATGCAGTGTCCAGCCCTGATCATGAATATTCAATATTCAAGTTTTGCTGCCCTTGAAGTGAAATGTACATAGCATCTTGCATTCCTTCCCCAACCATATTCTTATTTCCTTATTTTAGGTTATTTGCTTCTAACTCCCGATAACTCGAACTCTTTGCGATTTTCCTACTCGGAATGTTCGAGTTATAGGGAGATGACTGTATTTCTAAATGATAATGATGCCCAACGGGCCAAACGCCCCCCCCACCCACTTTCTAGAATGTAGACTCTGTATCAAATCGATATTATCGATTTTTCATGATTTTATCGATTTATAACGGAAGTCCGCCATTGTTGTTTTTTGGCATGAGTTAGATAGTACAGCTGAGAAAACACATCCACGAATATCAACTGCTCAACAAACATGAAAATGAGACATTTGGAAACTATCACACACGCAAATTTCTCTCAAAAACTCTTCGTTTGGTACCGAATAACAAAAACGGTTCGCTTTTATAATTACATTCAGTTCTCGCTCGGTAAATCTGATTTAATTGATATCCATTGTATCGATCAATCGGTAGTAATCGATGACACACTCGTTTCGTTTATCGATTTATCTTGATTTTTACCGATTTCATCGATTTATATCGCTCACTGTTCATCTTTTCATTCAAAAATGAAAACTGATTTCATGCAAACAGTAAATTTGTTGACAATTGAGTTGCAGTTGAGAGTCGAAGGATCAAACAGTTATCACTTTTTAATAAATTCTTTTCAAAAAAATCTGAAAAATCTTATATTTTCTTCAAAACCAGGTTTAAAATCTTCTTCTGGTTTGTAGGCGCCCAGTTTTTCACGATTTCGACCTGCCGCCCTTTCAAAATAAAGTCGGTGTAGATCCGGGTGAAGTTAAATCCCGGAGTAGCCAATAGATAAAAATCGAAATCGATAAAATCGTTAGCAATCAAGTGATTTGTATCGACTGATAACGGAAAGGGTAAAAATCTATCCAGGGAAATCTTTGAATGAATTTCAGACATCCCTTCGACTCGAGGGGATGTCTGAAATTCAGGCTAGGAAATCTTTACTAAGGTTGTATTTCTCGTGATACCTGCCTGCGAGAACTGAATGTAATTATAAAACCGAACCGTTTTTGTTATTATGTACCAAACGAAGAGTTTTTGAGAGAAACTTGCGTGTGTGATAGTTTCCAAATGTCTCATTTTCATGTTTGTTGAGCAGTTGATATTCGTGGATGTGTTTTCTCAGCTGTACTATCTAACTCATGCCAAAAAACAACAATGGCGGACTTCCGTTATAAATCGATAAAATCATGAAAAGTCGATAATATCGATTTGACACAGCAATTTAGTTTATCGATTTTCACCGATTTTCGGTATCAATCGATAAAAATCACTTGATTGCTACCGATTTTTATCGATTGACTACTCCAGGCTTTCAGCGTTTACGAAGTCGTTCGCGTCGCCAGTCGCGTAAACAAACAAACTACGCGACTGGCAAGCGACGCGAACAATTTCGTAAATGCTAAAAGCCATGCAAGAGGCAAACCCGGCTCTGCTCGCAGGGTATTAGATACCGGGGGGGCACTTGGGTATTTTTTGGGTGGGTATGTGCCGCTCGGGACTCCAAATTGGCACCCCGTTCTAAAAAAATTCCCCTAAAACTGATACCCCGTTCTAGAAATGGGCCAATTTTTTATACCCCGTTCTAGAATTCGCCCTAAAACTGATAGCCCGTTCTAGAAATGGGCCAATTTTTTATACTTCGTTCTAGAAAGTTTGTAAATTGAAATAGCCCTGTATTAGCCCTGTATTAAAAAGATATTTCTTTATTTGTTCGACTTATACATCAAATAAATGCTTCTTCATAATCAGCGACAATTTTAAGCAGAAGATAAAGCCGTGATCCCCAATTTTTTATACCCCATTCTAGAAAACGCCTCTGAAATGGATACCCCGTTCTAAAATCAGGAGCTTCAAAATCACGACCCCGTTTAGCCTGTGCCAGGCTCTCAGATAGTATAGTGGAAACGTATTAAAACGAGCAAAGCGAAAATAAGACGCGCACGACTTGGAAAAGGGGGCCCAGCCCCCGCGCGTTCTTCGCCTTTCTTATTACTGAACGACTTTCCACCACTATCTCGGAGCCTGGAACAGGCTAGACCCCGTTGGGCGGCACATACCCGTATAGGTAATGCATGGGAGTACCGCCCCCGGGATTAGATACAGAGGAGAGCTAGGTCGAAAAATCAAGACTGTTCGTAAAATCATCCTCACTTCTCTTTTCAATTCTACAAAAGACAAAAGTCCGGATATTTCACACACTTTTTGAATGATTTTGAGAAGATTTTAACCTCATCGATCGTTTAGCTCCCTAACCTACGAATGCAGCGGCCTCTCAGCGATCGCAACTCGTGGCAAGAACGTCCCAGCGACGAGAAGCAACTTGAGAGGCGATTATATTCGCCGGCTATCGGCTATTATGTGTTTAAGGAGTAACCGTACCTCGTGGGAAGCAAGGGCCTTGAAGTTTTCTACGGTTCGAGGAACTGTTTTTCCAAACAACCCAATAACAATTCTTCCTTTTTCTTGCTCGCCAATGCTGATGTCAAGATATACCTTGTTTGTGACCAGTGTATCGGAATCAGCGCTAACAACAAACGGCACGAAAAGAGCATTCATGTAGCAGATGGTGGCAAGAAGGAGAAGAACCATTTTGAAAGCCAGACACTGATCGTCAAGTTAGCAAGCTTTTCGAAAACCAGAGTGATGGTGCAGAAGTGAATACGTAGGTCTCATATTCGCTGCCACGTACACATATCTGGAATGAATAACCCCTCTGTGTTATCAATGAAGGATTGTTTCATCTGACCAGCCTGGTGTAACGCAACACTCACAGTCTTCAAATGCCCTGCTAAACTTAATATTTTAGAGATCTTCTGTAGAGATCTTCGAGCGCGCGTATGAAAGTAACCTGTGATTTAGAGTGATTTGGCGATCTTCTTTTCTTTTTCTTTTAAAGGAAAGGGGAAGAAGTCGCTGCTCTAAGTACCAAATGTTTTTCCTTGCGTGCGGGGGGATGCCTAGATCCCGGGGCCTAGATGTCCGCCGCAGGTCAACACATGGGACACATCTTGGGCTGCAGGAAAAGTCTCTGGTACGCAGGGTAATCAGTGGTATATAATTGCAGGTTTAACTGCAGGGGAGTTATTGAAGGGGTAGGGGCAGGAAAATGAAAAAAGAAATTAAACGGTCTGTGCACGTCTATAAGCACATCTTATCTGTCTCATGATATCTTTTAGAGCCAACTGAGACTGATTTTCTTTTTCCAGAAAAAGCAAATTACCATTCGCTAAATGGCGCTCACTATGTCATCAGTCGTTTCATTCTCATTTTCGCGTACTCGCCACTTATACGGATTGATCATGATAACTATTAAATTCCTCGGAAAAAAGGGAAAACTATTGGTGGAAAGACTAGAGGAGGTTTTTGTTTATTTATTTATTTTTGTTTTTCTTGTGCAAGTTTTCTTGTTGAGAACAAATCAAAAACTAAATAAAAAATATATCACGCTCTAACTCGGAAAGAAAAAAAAATTGAATTGCCCGGGCGGACTCCCAAAGATTTGAGCTCCTAAACGAGACCAATCTGGGCGTGGCTCAGTAGTAGAAACCTTACGAAACTTCGAAGGCGACGGCAAGGAGAACGTCAAAAAAACAATAGGTTTAATGAGCAAAACAACAACTCTGCAAGTGCATCACGCTTGTTTTGTACATTTCTTTGCTGTTCCTGCACAACAACGACATGAAATGACCACATTTTGAGAGACCTGTGTCACGAAATTCAGCCAAATTAGTAGCCTGAAATTCATCCGATTGCTTCGAGTCGTTTTCTCCTCGCAACAACGTCGTTTCTGAGGGAGTAATAACGACTCAAAGTAATTGGATGAAATTCAGGCTACCAAATTAGGCAATTACGAAATGCCCGTTAAATTACGAGAAACGTAAAAATAACCGCTTAAAACATTAAAGGAAGGTTAAAATAACACAACAGATACAACAGATAACACGGATGGGCAAAACTGAAGAAGATTGAAACGGATTGAAACCAGTTTTTCAAAGTTGACCTCTGCTGTTTGCAACTTCAAAAATAATGCTCAGAAGACATATTTGTTTGTCTCGAATCTCTGATTTTGTCATTTCCCAGTGTAATTTCTATGCTTACTTTAAGTTTCACGGCGATTGAGGGCGAGTAATTGGCAAAATTAAACAAAATGAACTGGACTACTGTGACACAGGCCCCTTAAGTTTACTTGAGTACGGGAACGGCAAGGTGATAAATTCCACCATCTCTTTCTAAACTCGGGCGCGGTCCCCTCTCCTCAGCTCCAACCAAAATTCCCTTCTTTTAAGTAACAGGGCGAATTGGGATAATCGCGAAAACGTTTAAAAAGATGCGAAGTCTATTTTTCAGCGACGTTTTCATGGACGTCGCCGTTGTCGGATCGTAAGGTCCCTAGTATTAGAGAGCTTAAGCAGAGGCGTTTTTTAACGACGCACGTCAACCGGAAGTGAGTCCTTCTCCGTTTTTATATACCTTGACGGTAACAAATTTGTATTGCTAAGTTTCTTTTCTCTTATAAAGACGGTTAACCCGAGAGTGTCGACCAAACCAGGGGGGAGGGAAGAAAAGCGAAAAAAGAGGGTAAAATCCCCCTCTTATCTCCCTTCCTCCCTATCCCCTACCCCTTCTTTCGACGCCTGCTACGCAGGCTAACCGTCGCTCAAAAACGCTGTTGCTTAAGTTCTCTAATTGACCTCTAAAAGAGACTGTACTTACCATGACAACCAAATAAGAGTCATAGTGATTCAAAATTGTGTAGGTTTAATTGGATCCTTCAATCTTTTTGGGGACTGCTTGAAGACTAAACTCCCAGTACGCGCATTTTCCATTCTTTCACCTTCAAACTTCTAACGTAAATTTCTGGTTAAAAGCCCTGGGCTTGTACAACTTCGTAACCGGGGTTTTAGGGGGGCTTATAAATACTGAAGGGGACTTATATCCGGGGTGTTGTTATAACCGGACTGAAAAAGCGTTTCAAAAAAAGCTACAAAGCAGTGCTGATCAAAATACTTTTTGAATTGACTCACTTTTTTAAGCTGCGTCAAGACGCCGTAAAAAATCGAATTCATTTCAATGCAAGCTTGAGGGGAGCTTTTATCCAGGGGCTTGTAACGGGATGTATTTTTTGTTTGCAGGTAGATAGACTGCGAGCAGTCTCTTATTTTTCTTTGCAAAGTTACTGCATACGAAACCTAAGCACGCAAGCGGCGAAGCCGCGAGCCGCGAGAAACGAGGGCGTAAGCCTGAGAAGAAATCTCGTCTCTGTAAGAATAACGTTGTGGTTTGCAATCGCGCTGGATGAGATAAGAACTTGACGGATTTTAAGAGAAAAGGCGGACAGCAAGCAGTCTAGCAGGTAGGTGGGCCTATAACTGGGGGCGGCTTATCAGTTGGGGGAGGGGGCTTATAAGGGGAAGTTTACGGTATATTACGTGTATTTCCTCTTTTGTGGAGGGCTCCAGAAAGAAAAGCTTCAGGCATTATTAAGAAAGAATTACAGCGTTTTGAAAAAGAGTTTTCAGACGCGTTTGTAGGAAAGAGGTGAAGGAAAGAACGTTGGACTACACCAAAAGACTAACGATACTATTACCTTAACTGTTTTATTCCAGTTTTCTGAAAAGTACAAAATTTCACGCTATGTAGAAATCTGTTATATCCAGGTTAAGGTGGATTTTAAAATACACTAGCATATGAAGTAAACAAATCAAGTCATGAATGTTATTCTTTGACGGGTTCTTTTTCCACTTCGAAAGGTTTATCAACTGGAAGAGATCCACAGTCCTCTATTGTGACATCTTTGGTTGGTTTATCACGACCGTCAGTTTTCGTTTTTTCTATCTTTCTGACAACATCCTAAACATAACCAAAAGATAAAAATGTGTGAACATTTCCCAAACATTGCCAGTAGAGCATAGAGATTATAACTGGGAAGTTTTGGTTTATTGCCTTAAATAAAACCCTAAACTAAAGGTTACATTCCATAGCTCAAGTGTACGCGTCACTGCTCCATCGATAAATATTAAGCCACGCAGAATCCCCTTGGTCTAAAGGTGACGTTACACGGGACGATTAGCAACGACGATTTTTAGCGCAACATTGTTGCGACATTGTTTCAAAAGGTTACAACATTGTTCCAACATTACAACGCTGTGTTGCGCTAAAAATCGTCGTTGCGAATCGCCCCGTGTAACATCACCTTAAAAGACAATTTTGTAAAAGTATTATAGGGTTAAGTAGAAGCTTTTGGCGCTATTTATTTATCTGTAGCGTAGTGACCTGTGGAAAGTGACCAGTATTTCAGACCTCCGCCCCCGCTAGAAAAATATTGTTGCTGTATATATCCTTCGATAATATAAAGAAAAGCTAAAAATTAAAGTCTGGCAATTTCTACTAACAAATATTTGCATTGACATGAATCCTCAGTACGTTATAAACTATATTATAATATGTATCATTTGTAGTTTAGCACATGTAGTGGCAGTGGCGTGGTGGTGGTAGTAGCGGGGGCTCTCGCGCTCGCGAAGGGCACAGCGGAGCACTATGGATAACAAAATTTGGTAATCTGTACATCGAAGAAATTTGTTTCTGACAAAGGGCCTGTTTACAAGGGGAGAGGGTTACACTTGTGCTAGGGTTACCTTAGCAAGTTAGCTCTGGTACCCTATCACCCAGGTAAACTTTACCAGCTTTGCTGACGTATTTCGTCATGCGTGACATTCTTTGTAATGGTCCAAGATTTGAAAAAAACTTGAAGTTCTCTACAGAAAACACACACAAAAAAAGGGAAAATATTATCATCGTAGACAGAAAATAACTTTTTTTATTTTTCAGATGTTTAAAATTAAGCTCAAAAATTGGATAATACCGTTCAACTTGGCACGATTACTGGTCACGCATGACGGCAGAAAGTTGACCCGGGTAGGCGAGTTATCCCTAGCTGAGCGTTTGCAGGGCAGGTACGGTAACCCCCTTGCTAGGGTAACCCTAGCACTGAGGTAGGGTTACCCAGCGCTAGGGTAACCCTACCTGCCTTGTAAACACGTCGTGTGAAAAAAGAAGAAATATGCGAGTGTTAGGGTAACCCTCTTGCTAGGGTAACCCATTCCTCGGTTCCGTCATAACAAAGTTGAAACTCAAAAAAAAAAAATTGGATACATGAGACCAACATGGTTTTTGGGGTGAGGGCAGGGGTTGGACCTGCGTGAATTGGAAAACGCCCAAGAAATGCAGAAGTGTCCCAAGACTTTTGTCCAGGATTGTAGAATGCTTGCAGGCACTCTACCCTGTGTCACTCTGTGGTCTATGCTTGTTATTCAAACACAGCTATACATACCATTCCTTTTAGTACTTTCCCAAATACAACATGTCTACCATCAAGCCAAGATGTTTGAGCAGTTGTGATAAAGAACTGTGAACCATTTGTATCTTTTCCAGCATTAGCCATACTCAGCCAACCAGCACCATAGTGGGAAAGTTTAAAGTTCTCATCGTTAAACCTATCACCATAGATGCTCTTACCTTTAAAAAGCAGAATTAAGTAATTATGCAATAATATTTTTTTAACAAAGACCCCTCAAGGAGGTGATAGCTCAAGCCTTACACTAGTAAACCCAAGAAATATTCCACTCTAAGCCCTTAATGGTCAAGGAGAACACTGCATGGAGTCTAAAGGATATGGTACGTAACCTGGTGGAAGGTCATGAAATAAATAAAATACTTTATAAGGCTCTTGAAAGTAACACATTGAAATGTTAAATTCGTGTAGATATCATAAAGAAAGATGGTAATGTGTTTCATTATTCCGCAAAAGAGCCAATAATTAATCTGAATTGATATGTGTACTAAATCGTTAGCACGTAGCTTACTCCAAAGGAGCAAAAACAACATCTTAGAACCTCATAACAGCATATGCTCTCACAAAGAAACAGAAGCGAGACAAAAGCTCCAGTGAAGCTCTAAGCCCTTGAAAATCAGAGGGGCTGTTGACAAAACTTTCCTTTGACTGGATTTAGGAATTGGACTGGACTGTACTAAAAACGTACATCCCATTGGATCCCATTAGACTAAGAATAGCTGGATTGCATTGGATTACTCTACTTAATAAGGTGACTCGACCCAGTTATTTTGTGAGCGTACCATCCTACTTTGAAGCTCTCTGGTATACCCACCTTTACTTTGATCGTAAATCTAACATATAGCATGGATAACATATAGATCAATCTACAATACAGCATAAAATTTTTGGCGATCGGAGTAAATATCACATGGTTATAGTGCCATGCCTCTTTGAGGTCTGAGTCGAAATTCTGCTGTTGCCAGCATTTTTTCGTGAAAATTTCTCGGCTACATATAGTGCTTATTAGTGCCTTGCATTGACCAGAGTTCCACCAAAATCACAAAGACCCAATGTGAGAAATTCAGCAGTTTCCAAATTTAGGTCATATAATTTATGCAAAAATGATAAGCAAACTTTACATGATTATATCTAATAAACTATGAGATTTATCCCTTTATTTTAGGGATCTTTATAACCAGATGGGTCCTTGCAAGTCAGCAAAAAGCTTCAGGGCCTCGTAAATGTGCGCGATTTCGAGCAATGCAAACATATACAAATTATAGTTTTGCTATTTGTTGACGTTTGTCAGCATTTAAGAGTCCGTCTCACGAAAAAAGCATTTTCTTAAAAATTCGTAGCTTTTTTTCCTTCAAATTTTTTCAAGGTCACAATTGATTAACTAACTACCTGGATTCTGAATTTCATTATCATTAAAAACTGTGACATTATCTTCTACAACCCCAAACTTGAGTAAACATCGAAGATTTTTTACTACAAACTATCTTGGATCTAACTCAAACATAAGCAAAACAAAACACAGAAATTATGATTTAAAATGTAACTCTATGGTCTACTTTGAACTTTTCATTCAGATGAAAACAGTGATCAGGAAAATGCTAGTTTCATTTCGAAGCATTCTCTATAAGTGCCAGCAATCTGATCCAATCCAGATGTTTTCAGTTTGATCGGATCTGAGCCACTGTTTTGACAATCTGATCTGCAGGCCAATTCAGGTTTTGTTACCTGCCTATACACAAGCTGAGAATTCCATATCACACAATTAAAAGGCCAAAGTAATTTGATAAGTGACCATGACAACCACTGCATGAGCACTGCCTGCATGCAGAACCTTAAGTCTGTGTACAGAAATGATTCAAGGTGTGAGTGTGGAATAACTGACTTTTGATGATTTAAATCTCCTTTTCTCAGGCAAATACAAGGTAATTTGGAAGGAGATTACCTGGCACTTTATCATAAGTTGTCATCAGGGTTTTTTTCCATATACCCATGCCTGCTGGTATTTACTGTAAGCAGATCAGGCCCTTTTGATGACACCCTCGAATGTAAGCAGGATATAAATGCCCGCTTAAAAAAACCTTTAGGTTCTAAATTTCCAGTAAACAGAGTGTAAAAAATTCCATACCGCCAGTGCCATCTCCATTAGTGAAGTCACCACCTATGAAAGAAAACAAATATTTATCATTCAGACATCATACATTAACTCTACTTGACAAACAGGTAAAGTTATTAAACTCAAGTTGCTGTGAGTGAATAAAATTACCTTGGATCATAAAATCACTAATGACTCGGTGAAACTTGCTTCCCTTGTATCCAAAGCCTTTCTGTTTAAAGGGGATAAAAAGAATCAATAATTTTCACAGTGAAAGTTGAAGTGCTGCTTCAATTCCTGCTTAAAAAACAATACATCTGGTACAATTAATACGAAAAAACTGTGGTGTATCAAAACTTTACCCCCCCCCCCCACAAAAAAAGTAATTACATATGAAAATTGTATGCCCCCACCCCCCTTGGCAATAACAATTTTTAAAATGCACCCTAAAGTTAGCTCACCAAGGGCGCCCCAAACCTGGGGGAGTCTGCAGGGGGCAACCCCTAGTAGTTGGCTTGGTCAAAAGTCTCAACCAAGGTCTGTGGCTTCCGATTCGGATCCATTTCACTCCACTTAATCAGTAAAAGGATAAGAGAAATCCTAACACAAAAACACCAATATACGGTAATGCAAAATATTTATCCCAATTTAAAGATAAAAATGCTTCACGAAATAAAAAAAATATCTATATTGTTTTCAGGTTTCAGCTGTATGCATAGGCATATGTGCGTACATGCATGCTACATTCCTAGTAGTAAGAAATTGCTTATAGGTTTCTGGGCCAAGTTTTATACAGGTAACATTTTGCTGTTGACAAAGAACCGCTGAAGCAAATTTTTTTGTCTACTTTTGAAGGAAACGTGGATTTGCTTCAATCAGCAACAATTGACAACTTTTACATAGAAGGCCAGCCCTGCGTCTTAATATTTCGACCCCCCTCATATTTTGTGCATTTTCAAAATTGACCCCCCAAAATTGGGCCTATTAGAAAATTGTACCCCCCGCCCCAAAACCCCAGTCCGCCCGCGCTTGGATGTAATAAATGAACGGTCCCTTAATATGATCAAGCCACATTAACTGAGCTATTGACAGTATAAAAACAATGTAAACGGTTAACACATTTCATATTGGCAATGAATGAATAAAAGAACATGCTTTACAAAGCCGATACGCCTCGTCTGCGAAGTAGGACGCAAAACATACACTGTATGTTTTCTTATTTCTATTTCTGCTGTTATTTTAAAGCCAATGGTCAAAATCACATCCATTTTCGGCTCATACAGGTTCTTAAGAATAGCAGTGCATGACATTTTCTCACTTTCTGATCACTTTCCAGCAAGCTGGAATTTGGATATTCCCTCTGATCTTGTGGAGTCAGAAGAGCAAATTTTGCTCTTCTGACTCTTGTCAAGTTTAATGCCTGGACGAGTCAAAGGCTCTTGAAATCCAATCCCCAAGTTAACCATCGTACTCATTTGAAAGACTCCTTCATGTCTTAAATTTGGTAAGACCGACTAACCATGCTGTAGAAAATTTGCCACAAAGAAAACTCTGAGTCTAAACAGCGAACGCTGAATGATGCATGCTCTCAGCAAAGAATTTGATCCCACTGAACTTCGGAGAGCGCGTACTTCTTCAGAAATGATAGATCTTCGCACTCTCGAGTCGGACCTGATTAATTACGAAGTCCGTCTACTATGAGTGAGCAAGTGACTCATTTGCATATCTCTGTCCCTGCAATAACCCGTGGTACATTCGCACATCCCCACGAGTTAAAAACAGACATTGACATAAAAGGAGCAAAGAATTGTGACAGTGACAGTTCACTTTTTAAGTAGTGAAAGCAACATCTGTTCACTTTTTCATTTTGGCTGTTTTAGTTGACAGCGGAATAACAAATTCTCTTCTATTATTCTTGAGCATTTTCCTTGGAACCTTTTCTAATAATGTTTGTACCGGTATTGTTCAAGAATGGTCTCTAAGAGGGAAAAACATTGATAACAATTGATTCTTTCCAGGAATTATATCTGCTGTAATTCCAAATTGAGTAACACAAAAATTTATGCTGAACCGACAGGGACATTTTCATCCTACATGTAGCTAAGATACAACAATTTTTCCTAACCTACCAGAAGACAGGTAGTCTCAGAAATCACCGACAAAGTGAAAGCATTTCCCCCTTAAAAGACCTCACAATTTTATTTATGTATGTCAATTTTACCTTGATAATATACCAATCCTTAATCATTTAAAATTTCTGGAATAAAACATTTCCAAAAAAGAAAGACACTTTTCGTTCATTTGCCGGCATTGTCATTAAATATGCAACAAAAAATAGGTCACCTCTGCATTGATAGCTCAATGCCAAAACATGGGGCTTTCAAGGGTAACAAGTGCCATTCCATATTCATGCTCTTCCCCAGAGACTCAATAGGCCATTAATCTGAGTTGCCCCAAGCCTCTGTTTCATGCCGAGGCTAGCTACACAGTAAGGGATGCACCATTAGAAATGTGAAGGGGGGGGTAGGACTTTCTGGAAAGGCATGTTATTTTTTTCACAACCAGCAGGAGTGCAGGATTTTTTTTTCAACCTTCAAACCCTTGCACGATTTTTTTTTTCCAAAATGACTATGCCCTCTTTTGGTCTTGTTTTACTAGACTGTTTCAACCACAAGAAATGTTTTTTGTTGTAGTGTTCCAACAGAACACGTTTGTTTTAAGTATATTTTTTTCATACTAATTGAGATTTTCTATTGAAATTTGGCGTGTGAAAACCCTGTTCAGGGTTCGCAGCCAATCAGAATGGCGAAACGACTTTTCACACACGTGAAAAAAAGCGCGTTTCGTCCAGTCACAGATGTTTAGTACATAATGTAATAGGACACCTAAACACGTGCAGTGTTAGACATGGACTTTTTTCGCATTGTATGTCAGATAAATCTCTCTCGCTTTCTGATCTCACTCGCAAAGCCTTGCTCGCTCAATTTCTGATGCGAACCAACTCGTGCGTAAATACCGTGCGCCCGCGCTGCCCATGAAGTAATCTATACGCTCAAACGTCCGAACTGAGTTCAGTGGCAGTTGAAACAGCTACACAAGCAGATCAAACGGTGTTTTACCCAAAGTAAAGTATTGCGAAGAAAGAGGAAGAAGAATGCTCTAAAGGAAAATAAAGAAAAACAAAAGAAGAAATTTCAAGCAGGCGAGGACTGGAACACAGAGAAAGAACCTGAGGGAAGACAAGAAACAGAGAAACAGAAAGAAGGAAAGCAAGCATCTCAGTCCTTATCATGCAAGGACTGGAACACAGAGAAAGAACCTGAGGGAAGACAAGAGACAGAAAAACAGAAAGAAAAGGAAGAAGAAGAAGAAGAAGAAGAAGAAGAAGAAGAAGAAAAAGAAGAAGTAAAACTGCAGCCAGCATGTCAGTCTTCATCAGGCGAGGACTGGGATACAGAGGAAGAACTTGAAGAACATTTCCTCTAAATCCTACCATATGTCTGTGGCCCATATGTTTAGGTTCAAGTTTTTATTAGAATGCACCATTTCTATTTATGGTTTTGCAAAGCATTCAAAATATTTTGTGTTAGTTTGGGTAAATAATATTCTTAATACTTTTAAATGCAGCGGGATCTGCAGTGTGATTGGTGTTTTTGGGACATCTACTTTTGTTTATAGCTGTAAACTTTATGGATTCAAGTAGCAACGCATATTGTACAACACCAACTCCATAAACTTGCGTGCAAGTGGAACTATTGACGTTGTTAACACAATCTCACTTTAATCCCATTAAAACAAAAGTATTTCAATAAAAAAGTTTATTTAATTTATAAAGTTAAACAATTATCACCACAGTCTCTTAATTTAATACTATGGCAGCTATAGAGATCAAGGGCATCAGAGTTGGTTCAAATTGAAATCTCTATTTAGCCAGTAGAAATTGTTTTTTCTGCCTGAAATGTAGTTTGACATGAATTTAGGAAGTTGGGGGAAGGGGATTTCCTGTTACAGATCACAGATTTATTTTTCAGACTGTGTAATATATTGTCGCAGTCACATTGGTTATCCAAGCAGGATATTTTTTTCTGGTTTCGTTGCAATGCAGGATTTTTTTTTCTTAAAATTTTGTTTTGCAGGATTTTTTTTTTTGTTTTTGGACTCCCCCCCCCCTTCACATTTCTAATGGTGCATCCCTAAGTAGGATTAAACCATTGAAATGAAAAAGATTTTCTTCTGTCATGCTTAACTCATTTTCACAAGAAAGGCTTTGCACTTAACCTTGTTTTGAAAGTGAGAGTTTTTGGAACTCAGAAAAGGTCTATTCTTCTGCCCAACTCCAGAGATAAATAGTTCCATCATGCTGGCCAATAGGATTGTGGCTTAATGCGCGGTACATACATAGAGACACAAGAATGGCCACTGTCATGTAAGTGCCTTTAAAGCTGATGGCAAGAACACAAAAAGACTTCAACTGTACAATGATCAATTTGAAAAAGATGAAGATAAATTGTTGCCTATTCAGGTGGTTAGGGTGTGGAGTGTGGTGCAGAAGGCATGATGTTGGAGCTTTTAAGGTGGTGGCGGGGGGGGGAGTAAGATTCTTGATGATATCTGATTTTATAGAAAAATCAACACGTTATCATTTACGCTATTAAAGGGTTAAAATAACAAATAATGTGTCAAATGATAAATTTATATTATTTACGCCTTATAGACTTTGTAAAAAAAATATTCCGCATAATGGAGTACATAACTTATATATCTCATAAATTAATAGGACAAATTTTGTACAAGTGCAAGAACAATTAGCAGAATGAATTAGTACACGTGGAATTGAATAAAGCAAGGCCAACAAAGGCCTGGTTTATAACAGCTGATTACCATGGCTTGTTTCAATTCTGCTCGTCTAAATTATTTTGCTTTAAACTTTAAACCAGTTGTTTAAACGTGGCATAAGAAATATAACTGTATACCTCAGATTAAAGGTAACATGAGGGATGACTACTTACATGATTACCACGCTACATTATAAATTATCCTGCTGATATTGCAAGCTCACTCACCTCGTGAGTTGAAAGTTGGTAAAAATTGTCAGCAGTCTTTGGCACTTCCTTTCCAAATAATCCGATCTCAATTCTGCCAGCTTTCTCGCCACCGATTGTAATATCAAAAAATACCTTCTTAGTAACTAAAGGTTTGTCACCGGCTTTAGCGCCGAAGCAAGCACAGGCCATAACAGCTAGGTACAACCACGAGGACATCTTGAATTTTCTTGAGTTAGGCACCAGAGGTTAGAAGTTTTTGATGTTACAAGCGAGCACGCGTGGACCAATCATCTGTTGCGGGGCATTTGGGAACCAATAGTTTTTCGACAACTCAAATCACCTCACGATTGCGTTACAAGAGAACTTCAGTTGTCAATTTTTACTGTACTTTTATTGTCAGTAAGTAGACGTTATAGAGTAATACCTCCGAGGATTTAGATTTCTCCAATCCATTTCAGAGATTTTTCCTCTTGAAAAATGTTTGCTTTTGTGAAGAGAGGGGGTTGCGTGACAGTTCTTGCACAAAACCACTTCCGGTTGTCTGGCGCGCGCAAAGCATCATTCTGGCGACTTCATAGTCAAAGGAAGGTTCTGAAGATTTTAATGCCTTATCGCACTTTCAGGGTAGTGAAAATTATAATGGTAGTTAGTTTTGCTATTTGCACTTTAGTTTTCCTACTTCTTCCTGGTGATTCTCAAGGAGGAAAAACTAAAAAAGGACCTTTGGTTACTGAAAAGGTGGGTTCGCAAAGCCGCTTCTCTCTCTCGCGCAAAAACATTTGGTGGGTTTCACAGTTTTAAGTGCGTCTGCCTTTTGCACAAGGATATCATTCATTCTGTAGGTTATGTACCTAGAGTGTTGGCTTTAGTTACAAATTGAGGTTACCCTGCAGAGGTAGCAGTGGGTTTCGTGGGAAGACTTGGTACACTGAGTAAACATAGTTTCCTAGCGTTTTTGCCCGGGGGGGTACTGTCGTATATGGGCTATATGAGTATGTGCCGCTGTGAAGGGTATGGTTTTCAAGCAGTTTACTGTAGGATAGGGTATATAAATCAGAGCGTTTGGGTCTAGAATAGGGTATCATTTTTCATGAAACTGATCAGTTCGTTGAAGATTAATTTTTATCTAGACTGCGGAAACCGCTACTCTAGGATAGGGGGATTTTGGGAGTTTACTCTAGTATAGGGTAGCAAAATTCAGCTGAACTAGCTCTGGTATAGGTCAAGGGTTCCACGGTCCCAGCAGCACATCCCCACCCAGAAATTCCTAAAGTGCCCCCCCCCCCCGGGCGTTTTTGTGAGCAAGCTTAGCATATCGTGAGATGACTCTCGCTCGAGCGACAGAGTGCATATTGGAATGAACCTGCTTGCTATGAATATAACTAAATTTATTATACATTATGCTCATTAACTGTCTTCTTATTGGCTAAGAGCCTACAGCTAATTTTGGAAATCAGCGCAACCAACGTTGCGCGCACAATTTATGCATGATTTCCACTAACAATGATAGTCTTTACACTAGAGCCTAAATAAGCTAAGAAATATTTCAAGACAAGTAAACTTTTAATTCTTCAAGTGAAAGAAAGCTTCACGCACAACCTATATTTTTTACCTCAGGTTTAGTTAAGCCTATTTTCCCACTGAACATAATTAAGATTGATTGACATGCTTCGCCGTTCTCAAAGCTTAAGAACCCACAAGTGCGGGGGGGGGTGGGGTATTACTTGGGTATTTTTTGGGTGGGTATGTGCCGCCCGGGACTCCAAATTGGCACCCCGTTCTGAAAAAAACTTTCCCCTAAAATTGATAGCCCGTTCTAGAAATGGGCCAATTTTTTATATCCCGTTCTAGAATTCGCCCTAAAACTGATACCCCGGTCTAGAAATGGGCCAATTTTTTATACTCCGTTCTAGGGTGCAACAAGAGTACAACAGTTTGCTTGTTAATGCGCTGAACTGTATTTTAAAAGCAATCTGTCCTTGAATTCAAATGGCTGCTTACAAAAGTGGAGCTTTCATGCATTCGAAATATTATACCCTGTTGTAGAAAACGCCTCTTAAATGGATACCCCATTCTAAATCAGGCACTTCAAAATCATGACCCCTTTGGGCGTCACATACCCATATAGGTAATGTATGGGAGTACCCCCCCTCCCCCCAGCCACAAGTTCACTGAGTCCGTTTTAAGGATGGTTTTCAAGTCACTTGAAACTTTCTTGAATCGTTTCAACTTTCCGACTTTAATGAGATGCAAAGTATAGTTACTTGAGATTTTACTTATTTAGGCCTTCACACAGGCATTTTTGATTAAGTATAACTGAGTCTTACTTAACCCATTCGCTCCTGGAGATTTTGCCGAAAAAAGTGTTTTGAAGCTAGTCAAGTAGTTTTCTGGTCACTGTCATGCTATAAAGAGCTAAAACTTACCACAAACCCATTTACAGGTCATACACTTCACGGCCTTCTGATCCAGATGCAAAATATAAGCTTACGAAGTTTGGGCATGCGCAGAAAGCAACATTTTCGAGATAGGTTTTGGGTTTAAAAGTGACACAGCAGTCTTGACTTTTACTTAATTTCGCTTTCTCTCCTCCCCTCTTTTTTCACTTTTCTTGCCTTATTTGTTTTTCTCTTGCTGGGCATTTAGTAGGCTTCATTTTAGTGGGAAACGTTTTTAAGAAAGCTTTTAGGATCTTAGGATTAGGTGAAAGGAAAGGTAGGTGGGCCGTGGAACAAGGTTTTCTTGGAAATTTGCGGGTCAATGTTACATGGTTTTTAGCCTTTTTCTGCGGTGTCCTTGACTGAATTGTGCTCATTCCGGTACGCTTTGAAAGATCTCTTCACTCTGCACAAGTTAGCGGACAAAGTTGTCCTTGACCGTTAAAACTGATGACATGACAAACAGTAGAAAGGACATGGATCTGCACGGGTGGCTCAGGGGCGAATGGGTTAACAGCCTAGTGTAAAGACAACCAATATCAATTCAGGTTCCTTGTGATGGTGCGTTTGTCATTGTTTTCTTCAAAACAATGTATGATAAAACAATTATTTGATTCAGTTTTTATGATATCCTAAATAATCGAGGTCTCGGTAAGATCAGCCTGGGCCTTCAGTTCGGCTGATGATACTAACCTCAACCTTGCTTATTCGGGATATCACAAAAACCTCATCCAATAATTGTTTATTATTTGTGTAGCGTGGTATTCCACTTTGGGGGGCTAAGTAATCCCACGATTAGTTGTGTAAAGTGAATCAACATGTTTACGTTTACAGGTTTTCTTTGATGTCACCCATGGAGATGTAAAGATAGGTCGTGTTGTCATCGGTCTGTTTGGAAAAACTGTACCAAAAACTGTTAAAAATTTTGCTACATTGGCAACTGGTGAGGTAGGGTGATCAGGCATTTATATTATATTTAGCATGTTCATGCTGATAATATGAAATTAAATAAGGTTAAAATCATTTATTTAACAGAGCTCAAAATTGCGACTGATACAGGCGCATTTGCAACTGAAATTTTTGCTTTTGCGACTAAAAAATGCTGATCAGTCCCAAATTTGTGACTAGGTTAGGGCCAGTCAATTGGTCACTAGCATTTTCAAGACGACTATTTTAAGCCTAAGTTAATAAAGGTACACCATATTGAAGAATATTGTGTTCTGTTGGAACTTAAATGTATGTAATGGATGTAATTTTCCCCAAATCGCAGCCCTTGATTTTCGTGTAATCATGCAGGTGTATTAAAAAGTAAATACTGTGAGTAGGATGAGAAAATATTATTGTGGTGTATTAAGGCGTTAAGTTTCTCAGAATATTGTCGCAATTACTGTAACTCTACGGTTAAATAGATTCACTTTATTGTTTGTGTTTAATTGATAGATTTTTGCAGTTGTTAAGATGTCAAGTCATGTTGGCACTTTATTGATACTTGAGATATCAATGATTTAACCTTTACGTACTACTGGAAGCAACATCATGCATCTGACGTTACGTATGTGTCATGGATGTGTTTATAGGGGTAGCTTTGTACTTGACTATCATGCAGTCTACTTGCAGCGCCTCATGTCCATAGAATAGAAAACACATGTATATCAAGCTTTTCTGGAATGGGTCAGTCCACAAATTCAAAGAAAGCGTTGATTACTTTGGAACAGTATTGATTACTTCTCAGTGGTCAAAAAGAAGAACAATCTTAATAAGCAAAACTTCGAGGTTTACTGGAAAACCAGGAGCGAGGAAGGATCGAAAGTCAGGGATCGAGGATTGGTTAAAAAAACTTGAGAATAAAATAAATAAATTGTGGATTGTGGTGATGTGGACCACAGACTGTAGATAAAATTTCACAAAACATAACCCCGCTCGCTGTACTGAGCACTAAATTTAAGTGAACTACTTTGAGTCTGACTGATTCAGTGACTGTTTTGGCAAAAACATGAAATTTTCCGGCAAAATGAAACGCTTTATCCAAGTGAGACCAGGATAAAATGCACCCGGTGTACAGCTCTAAACATTGTACTCTGAGACCACGTAAATATCAACTGTACAAAGATATTAAAAGCAGATACTAAGCAGCCATGGAAAATGTAATTTTACTTTCACGCAATTTTGATATTTTATAAAACAAACAACAAATTCAACAGGAATACATGTGAACTGAATTATTAATTCTCAGTTGTATAAGGTTCAGCTACACATTTTTCTTGTGCTAAACAAAAACTGTACCAAGCCGTATCTTGTCTGCTACAAATTAAAGAAGCTATATATATTTTAAATATACTGATAAAAATCATCATTCAATTTTTTGAGTGTAAATCCCTGAAAGAGTTCTCCTCATTGAAGCAATATCAATATGCAGAAGGTTTTCAAAGTCTTCACACCAGTGTGAAGCTAAGATGTGCAGCCTGTCTCTCTTTGCAAATTTTAAGTTTTGAGTATTAAGTTACATTATGACTTATAACACTCGTTTTGTATTCCAAACGAAAAAGTAGCATAACAACACCAGCTGATAATATTTATCTCCAAACAAGCAAGACTCAACACTACTAAGAGCATTCTTGTCTTTTTCACAAAAGTTAGTAGTTTGGATTGTACGATGTTATTACTGTCAAACTCAGAAAACTGCAAACACCTGAAAAATTTCAGGAATGTTGATTGTGTACTGGCCAATCACAAGAAAGTTCAGGATACGCGAGCAAACCTCAAAACCACAACCTAATTACCGTTGCTGTTTGCGGTTTAGTTGTCTCACACCTTATTGGCTAATTTCTCGCAACACAATAACATTCCATCAATATTTTGGTGTTCACGGTTTTGTGAGTTTCATAGGAAGCTGCTGAAGACATTTGTGGATGGTACATTCCAGAGACAATAGTGCATCCGGTACTGAATATTTTAACTTATGTTCCTGTTGAACTGTGAAGAACGATTCAGAAGAATTTTTCATTTGTTTATTCAGTGAGTAAATGTTTGCCCTCCTTTCGATGGTAGTTCATATAAGCTGTTGGAGTAATAAAATTAAATGATGTTAGCTGGTCAATGACTGTCTATAATTACTTGTATTATATTTTGTTTGGTCGCTTGCTTTTGCGACTAAAATTTTCCAACATGCGATTAAATTTTAGGATTTACTCGCAAATTGCGATGAACAATCTTTTTTAATTTTGAGCCCTGTTTAAGGTCCTTATGTGTGTGATTAAATGTATTCATAGGTCAGTTGAGAAATGCACCATGAGCAACTCAGATCATTAATTAGCAAAGAGAATGCTGATGTAATGGACATTGTAAATAGCAGCTGAAAGTGTGGTGTTTCTCTTAGTAGAACAGGGTTTTTGGTAGCATTTGGAAGTACCGGATGCAGTGTTTCAGCTGGCAGACATACACCATTCGCGCCGCTGATGCGAACGTTAAGTGCCGTTGGTTGAATTTTATTATCTTATAGCGGTTATAATTTATTGAGGAATCACATCTTCTGTTATAAATGTGATATAATTTGGTTGTCTACATGTACATTTCAGAAAGGGTTTGGCTACAAAGGAAGCAAATTTCATAGAGTGATAAAGCAGTTTATGATTCAAGGTACAAAAAACTAAATAGGTTATTAATGTTAGCTAGTGTGGGTGGTTCCTATGTGTTTATTGGGTTCAGATGCCTTTATAGTAAACTTTAAGGTTTAATTTCATTTCCATATAGCTAGTCGGCAGAAAAATTTCATATGTGCCTGAAGTTTCAATACTCTTTCCCTCAGACTATCTTTGTAGATTAGAGTGAACAACAACAGGCTGGGGTACAAACGTTGAGTGTATTTAACCACTAGATTTAAAAATGTTTTACTATTGCATAAAATGCTTCACTTATTGTGTTTGAAGTTCAGAAAGCTCCATAGCCAAAGATCACTACTAGTTGAGAATGAGGTCTTTACATTGTGTTTGTGATAGCACTTTGTTATATTTTTTCTCCTAAATGCAGCCCTCAATTAAGGGTGATACATGTTCACATGCATGCCCTGTTGAGTAAATTTCATTATTTTATGTTCTTGTAGGAGGAGACTTTACCAGAGGAGATGGAACTGGAGGTAATCTTTTACTGACTTGGTACTGAGTCAATGTTTTGTTACTAAAGGTGGTTGGGGAAGAAGTTTCACTGCCTTCTGTTCCTAACTGATACTAAATTATTTACAGCTTCTAAATCTACTGGGACGTGCACAGAAGACAAAATTTTGGTGTTGACTTATATCACTGTCTCTCTGTTCCACCTCTTTTGCTTTTCTCTCCCCATTTTTGTTTTGTCTGCTGGGAATTTACAACCCTTCCTTTCAGTAGGAAAAGTTTCCACAAAAAACCCTGGGGATCTAATTTTTAAAATAATTTAGAAGGAAGTACTGTAAAAATGGTGGTGTAGTGGAATATGTTTTAAATGTATTTCAGTTCAACCATATTACAATTTTGGCTTGGCTTGTTTATTTGGAAACATAATCAGTCAGTTAGGTATGGATGCTTAGATCTCTTCTTCCTGTTCAAGTTAGGTGACAAAGTTGTGTATGACCATTAAAACCGATGTTGTCACAAGTGTTACAAGGGACGTATATTCGCAAAACATGGGCAGTTGCATTTACAGGCAGTTTAGGTGTGATTGACTTTATTGAGAATAGGGAATATTATCTCTCTTTAAAGATGTAAGTACATGAAGAAATCAACACTTGAATTAATTTAAATTAAGTCCAACATGTCGGGTTGACCCATGAATCAAGATTGAGTGGCTCACATAGAAATTTCGGCTGTGAAGGCTACTTCATTAAAAGTCAAACTTCTTATGTGCCGAAGCTATTACTAAAATTTCTTTTCACTTGTAAACATTTGAAATCGTTGAATATCATGAAAATGAATTGAGTCTGACTAATTAATTTTGATGTCTGAATAAACCGAGGAACTTATATCATTTGGGTGGACCTACATAGATATTAAGTTCATTTGATGAAAAAGATCAACGTTTGAGCAGGGCCTAAAAGGAGTCCAGCCCTGTAGCATACGTGTACATGAATTTTCGGTGGTTATTTCTGGTACAGAAAGATAGAAGCTGGGGGTATTGACCTGAATAATAATACTATTATTGCATGTCAGGCAAGGTTGTGGAATGTCAAAGTACAGCATGCCTAAACAAGCAATAGTTCTGGGAGAGAGGTGTATGTGATTTAACTCCATCACAGGCATGACTCCCAGTTCATATGCAGTGTAGCTGTTTCCTCTAGTTATCCATACTTTTTTATTATTTTAGGTAAAAGTATCTATGGAGAAAAATTTGACGATGAAAATTTCAAGTTAAAGCACCATGGCCCTGGCTGGGTGAGCATGGCCAATGCTGGAAAAGATACAAATGGCTCACAATTCTTCATTACAACGGTCAAAACATCATGGCTTGATGGCAAACATGTTGTTTTTGGCAAGGTTCTTGAGGGAATGGTAAGTTTGAACTGTTGCATTTTTTTTTTCACTCATCAGTTAATTAACAGTTATTGGACGTGGTTGAGCAAAGTATCGTGTTTTGTCGGTGGCGAGCAGATCACTTATTGATCTGCGAGACCACAGGTAGCCCAAGCTCGGCGAGCATCGGCATTGTTGCGTAACATTCAAAATATAAGGATTTGTATGGCAAAAAACCCTATCGTTTCTGTAACCTAGGAAAATGAAAGGATTTCAATAAAAGACAGCTTACCTTACTTAAAATGTGTGTTACGACTCTCCAGTGTGGTCCAGGGGCCGATTTATGGCCGTTTTATGGGTTTTATGTTTGTATAGAGAGAAAACCGTTCACATAAAAGCCCGGGCGGGGTACTGCCATATATGGGCCACATAGGTATGTGTCGCTGTGAAGGGTATGGTTTTCAGGCAGTTTACTCTAGGATAGGGTATATAAATCAGAGCGCTTGAGTCTAGAATAGGGTGTCATTTTTCAGGAAACTGATCAGTTGGTTGAAGATTTTATCTAGACTGGGTAAACAGCTACTCTAGGATAGGGGGATTTGGGGAGTTTACTCTAGTATAGGGTAGCAAAATTCAGCTGAACTAGCTCTAGTATAGGTTAAGGGTTCCAGGGTCCCAGCGGCACATCCCCACCCAGAAATTCCTAAAGTACCCCCCCGGGCATAAAAGCCATAAAACGGCCATAAATCGGCCCTTGGACCACACAGGAGAGACGAAACACACATTTTAAGTAAGGTAAGCTGTTTTTTATTGAAATCCTTTCATTTTCGTAGGTTACAGAAACGATAGGTTTTTTCCCATACAAATCCTTGTATTTTGAATGTTACTAGCCTGTGAACAGGCCTTTGGTTGAGCGGGGTGGGGAGAGAGAAAAGCGAAAAGGCCCTCCCCTCCCTTCCCCCCTTTCCCTTCTCTTTCCTTGCTATTTTTCCCCAAACAGAGAGCCTGTTCACAGGCTAGAATAAGAATGTTACACAACAATGCCGATGCTCGCTGATACTTAAATTTCGAGCTTGGGCTACCTGTGCCGAGACACTGACAAATCACGATATTTTGCGATAACCGCGGAGGTCCATAATAGTTGTATCATACAGACACCGAGTTTGTTTTTTGATAAGTATTACCGACGACGAAATTTAGCAAGAAAAACGATATTTAGAGTAACATCAAATGGTCTGCGATATGAAGAAAACCACCCTAGCTGGAGAGATACATTTACCATCCATCTTTTATGTAGCTTGCCCTTTAAAAGCGCGGACTGTGGTGTCGCCGGAAGGACGCATAGTGTACCGTCTGTTGTCAGCTTTATACAGCGATGCGTTTAGGACAAGTTGGTTTTTATAGTGTAAGTAATTGAGATTTTCTTGTAGGATGTGGTGGAACAGATGGAGAACGTTGATGTGGACGGGAGCAGCCCGAAGAAGGACCTCTTAATCGCAGATTGCGGCACTATGGAAGTTAATCCGCCATTCAACATAGAAATTGTAAGAGAGTGAACAACAGAAGAGTGCATATTTTCTGTTCTGTAACTCGGACGTTTTGATAATGAAATAAAAATGTGTTTTAAACATAGGCTTTGTTTGTAAACACACACAGGCTTTTTGTACTTATGCGTTTACTTCCTCGGAAGTCCCTAAATCTAAATTGATAACCGTATCAACCTCTCATACGGGATATATATGATACAGGAGTATGATCAGCGGTCTTAGTTATAATAGTGGCTAGTGTTAGTAATCCTTAAAATGTTTAAATTAGATGGGCCATTTTTAAATGACTGGGTTGAGGTTGCACAGCGCAAAGTTAACGGTAATGAGTTAAATTCTTGAATTGTGTGTGGAAAAAAAGAAGATCGGTAACAGTTGGTATTTGATTGTAGTCGAAGATATGACAGATGAGAAGTATGACGTGTTTGGCAACCACTTGGCAGGAGGGGTGAAGTGGAGGTATGGACAACACCGTGGACAATTGTGTATACCTGTATTAGGCGGACACCGTATTAAGCGGACACCCTCTGTTAAGCGGACACTAGCCGAAGTCCCCAAATTTATTTCCCTTATTTACTTTAAATGAAACCTTTATTAAGCGGACACCTCTATTAAGCGGACGCGGACACCTAAAAAGTACCTGAAATGGTCATTTCTGTTGTTGCCAACCTGTATTAAACGGACACTTGTAATTAAATTCCACCACCCAACACGCTAGACACCGGAAATGCGAAAGATTGCCTCGAATTAAAAAACATGACTTGGCGAACTTATTTGATTAGTTTCACAGTACAGTATTGTTTTCTATTTCGTTTTGTTTGTATAGAGCTTGTTTCACTCGTCTGATTTCTTCAAATTTGAGTTGCAATCTATGTTTATGGTACTATGATCAATTGGTCCACTTTGATAAAGAAATTAATGCAAAACGTACATTGTCACAGTCTCTGGCAGTATTCTAAACGTTTCCATTGTTCATATGAATGGCATTTGACACCTCATATGACGTTATCTATCGAAACTTAAGCGGACGCTACAGCATTCCCCGAGGTTGTTGGCTTAATACAGGTTTCACTGTATAAGCGTCAGCGTCAGGCATGCTATCTCTCTACGCTCCTAAAGCGACTACCAACCGATATTACTAATCATGTTCGTCACAAAGCGAGCTGCTCGTCGTTGTACCTTCTCAAGTAATAAAATGTGATATGGTGATATGGTGACTCCAATCTAAATGGTTAGACATTCCAAGTCCTAAATATTTGTGTTTGGCAGATAACTCTAGGGGCGTGTCTTGAAAGGAGGATGTCGTGAAAGTCACACCTGGGCGGTACGCAAAAGGGGACGCGAGACAAGGGACGCGTCTCTCGAGGCTCTGCTGTTCGCTCGCATATTCTCTTTCGCCTCCATTCCCTCGCCAGTTGAAATCGAGACATTGCTCACAGGCTAAGTAGTGGGGGTGAGTCCTAGCTCACAAACCAGTCCAGATGTTTCTTAAACGGAGGGTTTTATTCCATTCTCTCAAAACTATTTATAAAGTTGAACTGGAATAGAAAAACCTGAAACGTAAAATATCCTTCTGGGTGATGTAATTACCTCGGGCGGAGGGCTTAAAGTAAAACGGGGGCCTTTGGTTAGGCCCCTGGGGTCATTTGCATAAAACTTGACACTAACTTTTGACGTTAAATGAAGGATTTTGACAAAGCTGAACTTCAGACGTTAGCGTTTACGTCCGACGTTGATATTTTTAAAGTAATTGGCCTCTGGAGGGAGAATGATCCCCCGCTCCAGGCGGTGAAGGTAGAGAGATTCCACGCTCCAGGCAGGGAAGGGAATGAGATCCCTCGCTGCCCCAGGCGGGGAAGGGAAAAGAAGATTTAGCCTTCACTTCTTGAACAATGCGATGATGTAGCATTGATCGGATCTTCGACCTGAACATCTTTCTTTACTGCGCTTTTCACAAACATGCGAACTCTAAAGATCAAAAGCCGCCTTCACAATTGCGTTTTTCGCTGCTGTCAATCATAATTACGATCACAAGCAACGAACCTTGAAACACAGAAACGCACAAAACGGATCGAGATCCACCAATCACAAATCACAAACCTTGACCTTTTGAACCCGTTAAAGTAAAGTTTTGTTTCCTAAGAGGTCCGTTAAGATGATTGACGGCAGCGAAAAACGCAATCGTCAGTTGGCTTTTGAACTTCAGAATTCGCATGTTTGTGAAAAGCGCAGTAAGGTCTGGTTTATGTCACTTGTTGATTAGTTGAAGGCAAGAAGTGTTCTTAACTTTCAAGCCTTGTCCTTGTCAGTCCCAAGCGGTATGCACCCACAGCATCGTGAAATGGGGACTCCACGTAATAGACTAGGTTTTCATCTAGGAGGACAGGAAATGATGCAGATGAGCAAGTTACTGGGTCAGATCGAAAGTTTAATGTTGATTTGCTGGCTGAACCGTGAGAATCACTGATCCCTATGAACGCTGCTGGCGCTAGCTGTTGTATCCCGATCCTGATCAGATTCCTAGACTCAAGAACGCGACGTCTGGGAGTCAGTCCACAGCTGTTGTACAGTAAGCTGTCTCGTGGTGAAACATTGACTCGGAATGTAATGTATTATATCCAGTATATTGTAGAGAAATTGGCACTCTTTATTGTTCGTGTATGAAGGGTGTGAGTTTACTTGGACCACAGTTAATAGAGTGGAATAGTTATGTAGCCCGTCAGACTCCTTTGTTATGAGCGTTTGTTCACATGACCGATCGTCCTAATAATTTATTTTGCATTTATTTATTTATTTATTTATTTATTTGATGTTTCTCGCCTCTGATAACCATTCTCGTCTACTTCCTGTGGTTGGACGAACTTGTATAGCTGGGCAGCCTTGAAGGCCGGGGCAGGCTAGAGTTGCTCATTTGTTGGCCGTAAACAAGCCAATCTTTGGGATGAACCTTCTTGTAGAAATAAAAACCTTTTATTGATACAGTCGACTCCCGAGGATTCGAACCCACCTCGCCCTAACTCCAACCAACCTTTGATCTCCTTCCGTCTTACATGTACTGTAATTTTACCCTCGATAACTAGAACATCCCGTTACGCGAAGTAATTTTTGTTTCCCCTCCAATCATTTCTATATAATTTTACCCCCGATAACTCGAACCATATTTTGAGCCCTGCCTTAAAAAGTCGGGGCAAAAAAACAGTGTACCGGGTTCCGAAACATTGAATTTTGAATTTCCCATTGACGTGTTGTAGGCCTTTACTAGTGGAGGCTGATGTTGTTTGTTACAATTCTAACGTAAACAGCTTTACTTAACTCATGCTCTATTTAGGCTATATTTTGCTACGCTACGTGTTGATTAATAATCTAGAAGTATCTTTCAATTTTCTCTTAACATTTCTACAAGTAAATGTGGTTAAAATGTTCACTTTCGGGAGCCTTACGGGCTCCTGTCACTGCACAGTACTAGAGAAAAACTGTTTTTTTTTGTTTCCAGCTATTTTCTCCGAGCTCCCGATAACTCGAATTTTTTTTTAATTTCCCTTGAAGGTTTGACATATCGGGAGTCGACTGTATAGTCAAATATGATGCCTATGCGTTCCGCGTGCCTCCGTCTGGGAATCTGTAAAAAGCCGGCTCTAGGAAAAGGACACTATAATTCCATGGGCTCTCTTCGCGATCTTGTAAATGGTGCAAAGCCAAAGATCACGATCTAGGAGTAAAAATCGTTGGACGAAAATGTCGAGTCTGTTTGTGCCACCAAAATGAGTCAAAACATGGTACAAAAAGTATGAAAATTGTGAATTATATTGACAGACACAACTTTGTTGAAATGATTTGCTTACCAAGTCCAATCGTACTGAAATACAGACTTATAAAGTAGAGGAACGAACTTTTGGGACATCCTCTATATACGTTTGCCCTCTTGTTTTCATGGTAAATTTCAATCCTTAGACGGCTTTATTGTAAACCCGTTTCCATTCTCGTCATAACCTGGATGACTCTGTACTTTAACGTAGACCCCGTTGATATGAAGGACAGTTGTTGCTAAAGAGGGTCACCCTCTCAGCCGAGTCAACATAAGCGAGCAGTCAGACTGAAAAGGTGGACGCCTTTGCACGAGCCAACATCGCTCACACACGGGCACAACGCTAGCTCATACTCCGATTGTCTCACCTTGACCCGAGCTGACCCATAGCTGGGCGAGCCAAAGTATTTACATGGAGAAAAGTTGGCCTGGCGTGGAGGGTAACCCTACTATTGAAAATAGTTGAACCGCCTTCAATCCGAGCCAATTTTTTTGTTTCTCGTGTAAATGATTCGTCACGTTTTGTTAGGAAATGTATGAAAAGTTGGCTCAGTCGCCCAGTGTAGCTTAGATAGGGGAGTGACCCTTCTACTCGGGACGGGGTTTCTTTTTAAACGGGGCCTTACAACTTGTACATTGCGTACGGACGCTGAAATGAGTTACTGAAATTAGAGGAAAGAAGCTTTTCTTCGCCGCTGTCTTTGCCTCCCTTGTCCCTGCAAAAAAATGAAGAAAAGAAAGTATCTCTTTCTGAAGTGTTAAAAATTCACATTTTTAAAACGTGCTCAGTGTAAAACCTTTCATGTGAAAATGAGTTTTATTTGCATGAGAATAAAAAGATCATTTTCATATCAATAGCTTCGCCGTTGGCCTCCCTTTGAAACAGAGGCCGTGACCGTTGACCGTGTTCCAAGACGTCGACGACAGATATCAAGGTTTGATACTTGCAAAAACGCATTCGATGGTAATGAGCACGTCAGGAGCCCATAACTATGAAATTCTCAAATATCAGTGGCGGATCCAGGGGAGGAGCGCCCCCCCTCCGCTCCTTATCTGAAGGTCTGGATCCGCCACGGAATATTACAAGAAGTTCCTCAGTATTCAGGGATCTACCTATTTGTCAGTAGACATTAAAAAGTGGAAAAAGTATATGAAAATATCCCCTTTGAAGAATGGCCTGCAACTTCAAATTCTGTCTTAGCTTTTTGCAACCCTCAGACATTACCAGCCATTCACAAGATCCTTACCACTCCTTTTCAGTACTACACCCGTGGGAAGTGTTTCTTGTGAATGCTCTTTTTTTTTTTGCTGTGAGGTGTCTCAAATTTTGGAACCGTTCTACAATGACTGAGGAACGCTTGAGTGGCCTAGAGATGCTTATCATTCACCGTGAGACTAATTACGTACGGAATCTGAGGTCTGATTCATTTACCCAATAAAACGAAACTGGCGCCAAGTGACCCAACCACACACTTCTTTTGAACTGAGCCCTCTGTGTGAGTATTTATACCGTCGTCTATCGATGAAGGGAAATCCATTTGAAGACATTCTAGAATAAAGTGGTCAGATATTGATGCATCAGCAATAGTTTACAAAACGTTTACTTTTGACGGAATATCAATGAAAATTAGCATTTCCATGTCTCCGCATCTCTGTATTCATTTCAAAATGTTCTGAAAGAGAATCTGCTCCAGCCTCGGTTCCCCCTCCCCCCAGTTAAAAATATCTAGCTACGACCTTGAAACAAACTTTTCTCTCACAAGTATAAAATGTGAAGCACGGTGAAGGTCTTGTTCACAATCAGTCAACCAATAAAAATTTTACAATTACGTCTTCTAGGAATTCCTTGAGCTTTCCGGGAATTTTTGCCTTTGGCGTCGATGATTGGATCGTTCGTTCACTTTATCTTGTATATAATTAAAGTAACCGGTATTCTTTTACAACACACCATAACAAGAACAGACGTTGTTTTGAACTGATACATACCGAGACCTACCGTACTAAAAATACATAAAAGCTGGCAGCTGGGCCAAAACTGGAGGGCAACAACGGTCATGAGAACAGTAACAACCGGCACAACATCCCCTGAAAAAACCCGCGGAACTTTCCGTATGTTTATTTCTTTCCAATATAAATCTATTTTTAGTAAGAGCGCTTTCAAAACTCCAAGAGCCCCAGCCACTTACAGTTCAGTCCAACCATCGAGTTGGCTTCCTCAAGAGTAAATACGCAATCCTCAACGGCTCAAGGTTACTTGAGTACGAATATATTCGAAAGTACAACGCCAAACTGCCGGTATTTAATTTTTAAACGTTGAATGCTCTTGAAGTGCCTTTAGACTGCGACAATGACTATTTCAACTCTTTTGCTTTTACTTAGCTTGCAAGTGAAAATCTGTTATTTCTCATCAATGTTTAACTATTTTTAAATCTAAAACTGAGGAAAGCCCGCTGGAGAACTGGAGATGGTGGTGAAATTTTAGCTAATGACGTGCCTTCTAAGAAACCTCATAACTTTCCTAGAATGTAAGCCACTGGAATCAATGATTGGCTAACTCGTCCATTAAGGTCGCGGAATAATTCTGATTGGACGAAATGTCACCCACTGACGTAAAGCTTGTACTAAGTTGTGTTTTCGCTTCACGGATTTCAGTGCGAGTGTGCAGGTTTTTACTGTGTTATAGAAATCATTATTGGTAAGCAGTAAGAATATCTAGCATTGAACTGAACCATGTCTAGTGGAAAGGTAAGTTTGAGTATACCTAGCTAGTGTTTCCTTTTCTCATTTACGGTCTAGTTACTAATTTCTCATGTTACATTCTATTTACCACCCCCATCGTACCTATGCTTCCGTTCACTTCCGTCTGTAAACGTTTCTCAAAAATCATCTCCAAAGTCAAAGTTCTGGTTCGCGAGCCCAGTGTAAAAGTGAAGCCTGTTTCAGGAGTATATCAAGGTCGTAATTACCTACTTTTAACTGAGAATGTATCGGAGGCAGATTGCAGCTTGATCTTCTTCGGGAATGGAAGCAAGTGTTCGAATAACTAAATGTCTCCGATTAGATTTTTAATACTGTACGAGCTTGGGTGGTTGACAGTGATAGTGCGTTCAGATGGATACTAACGATGACTTTTAAAATTAATGTTACAAATCAGACGCCATATCAGGGAAACAGACGTTGCTTTGGAGAATACAGATGCCCACAGTGCAATAGACTGTGGATGAGTGCCAACAGTTGGGCCAACACCGGTCAGCAATGTCAGTCCTGTAACATTATTGTATACCCACACACACAACGTCGCCTGGAAAAACCCGAGGGACTGGACGTTGGAGATCCCAAAAAACGCCACCCGCAGCATTTGTGCGAGAAATGCAAGAGATTAGGTTACTTCTGTGGAGATACAGATCGCCGCTAACGCTACTAGCACAACTAAAAGCAGCCACAACTGTGTTATATGCCGTCAAACACAAAATCAGCTTATTAATGTTTGACTTACTAGCCAAGGGTTGGTCAATAATCCTTTCACAATTGTAACTACTTACAAGTGAATTTTTGTTTCAATCCACTGTAAAACTAAGTATAACAGTAAGCTTCAATTCGCAGATTACTAAATTTAAAGTACTTTTCATGCCTGTCATTTTTTTTTTTTTGGAGGGGAAGGGGAGTATACGTGAGGGGTTTTTTTTACCGTTATTCATATTCTTCAAAATATGAACTAGGGTAACAATATGAGAAATTTGCCTCTTTTCTAAGAAAGTACATTGACTTTATTTTTGCACAGCCATATTTTGAAACAAAACTGTTTTGTGAATAGCTTTCAGGTCAACTTTAGGCTGCAGATGCATTCGCTTGAATTACACCTGATAATTTAAGGCTACTTCTTAATAATAATAATAATGATAATTTATTCACTTCTATAGCGCAAATTCAACTCAGATTTTCAAATGCGCTTTACATTCAACATCTAAAGAGAAAACTATATAAAATTATAAAATAAGTACATAAAAATAAATAAAATTACAGTCAATAATGTTTACACACACACAGGTTAAAATCTAAAATTATATCGTAAGTTCCAGGTTAAAAAAGAGTGATAAGATAGTCGAAATTACTATCTAATAAATACGTTAGTTAAAATACGCTTTCTTGAAAAGATATGTTTTTAAAACGTTTTCTTAAAAGTGCAGATTCCCTGCTCCTCCCGGAGCTCTTAAGGGAGTAAGTTCCACAGTTTTGGAGCGGCAGCCGAAAAAGCCCGGTCCCCAAGGGTAGGGGGTGTCTTAACATGTGGAGGCTGCTTCTTGAATCAAATGGTTAATTTTAAAACGTAATCAACCTAGAAGTTACAAGTGAAGTCGCGCTGTTTTTCCTCTACTAAATACTTTACATGGCACGTCATTTCAATCATCGCCGAAAATAAATTGCATGCTCATCACAACACTCAACAGCACACCCGACCATCGCAATTTTGCTAATTAAGATTCTTATTTTTTTTCGACCACTCAGTAGTGTTCACTTGTTCCAAAGTTATCAACGCTTTCAAGCGATAGAATTCGTGGACCGACACGTTTCGGAAAAGCTCTAGATTTAATCTTTCCTAAGCTTTCTTCGCAAAACATGCGTGGCTTCGATCATGCAACGATTCTTAGTCCCAGTTTCCACGGTCTCCGCAAGGAACGCCTGGCACAATGACCTACCTTTTGTGTCCCAAATTCGACCAAAAATTCCGGGGGGGGTCCTTCCAGAAAAATTGGGTAGGGGTGTGCTGCACGCTTCAAGAAACCCTTACCCTATTTCAGACCAAAATCTGTGATTTTCCCTACCCAATTTCAGACCTGATCAAAAATTTGATACCCTATTTCATACCTGAAGCCCTGGAGCCCGGCGCGTGACAAGCTGTTACGGCACATACAAGGTAGTTGGAGTAAACACTAATTAAAAGGGAAAACGTCTTATCGCCAAATGATGAAGAAGTAGCTAATTCTTCTAAAAAAAACATACCCAATTCAAGACTAGAGTGCACAAACCATAGCCTATTTCAGACCAAAACGGCTAAAAAACCATACCTTTGGCGCGGCACATACCTATATAGCCTGTATAAGGGACTACTCCCCGGGGCGAAAAACGCGTTGTAGATTACGAGTCTCGCTGCTAACGCAAGCAAGACTAATAAGAACAGTCATGAGAGAAGTCATAGTGGGAGATCTGATTTAGAATGAACAGTGAGGGGGAGATCAGTGTGATATAAATTTTCTCTAGCCTACGTCGCGGTGTTTAGCTTCGTCTGTGGCCCAGGCTAGGGTCTCTCTTTCTTTAAAAACAATTATAATTCTTACTAATTTTAATTTTTTTAGATTATAGAGCGTTTTCACATGACGTCACGGCGGCCATGTTGGTGTCCCAAACCAATCCTGTGGGAGTTGAATTCTTTTCTTATGTAAACGCTTTCTTTTGTTCCAATAAATTTGCATAGCTGCTGGCCACGTGAGTGTAAACGCTCTATAAACCCCGTCTTTCGATTCCCTTCTACTGTTTTTAAAGTCTCTGTATCGTTTATATTCAAAAAGGGTTTTTGTTAATTTGACTGGACTATCAAATCCAACGTGTTTATTTTACAGTATAATTATCACCAACAATATACCCGTGAAAAAGGTCTTGAATTTTACAACGAGCACAGTCATTATGAAAGAACAATCTAAACAAAAACAGAAAATCAGAAAAACTGTAGATGTAGGCGTGTAATATTCACCACGTGGCGAGTCCAAGATGAGTATGAAATGCCGTTTTTGATCGTTTGTTTTTCAAGAGAAGAGCTCTATGTTACCTTATGATGGGGTTTGTTCGAATCAGCAAAATGACGTGTATAATGATCAAAA